ACAGAGCAAATTCACTTTCCATACAGCAGTTCACATGTACTTTGTCTCATGACATTGACTACAAGTTACCACAATGCAACAGCTCCCCTCCCATTTCCTCCCCATAGGTACCACTTCCCTGTGCTCCCCTCCCACTTCCTCCCCATAGGTACCTCCTGCCCCTGAGTGGTCTCCTTGTGCATAAACAGCCCTTCTTTCTCCCATGGTGGTTCTCTCCAAGGAGTGTATCTACCAGTGTAAATATTCACCTCATATGCCTGTCTTTTGTTCTGCTGAAAGCCACAGGTGTGGGTTCAATTCCAGACCTGAAGGGCAGCTAGGGATCATAGTCTCAGAGGTTCCACCAGACTCTATCAGACCAGCAAACCTGGTCCTCCTTTTTTGTTTCCAATTGATTTTGAGTTTTATTGCACATTGTTCTCCCTCTCTATCCAGGATCTCCTACATTGATCCTCCTCCGCGTGGTTGACAGTGGTAGCCAGGCACCATCTAGTTCTTCTGGTCTCATAGTCATATAGGCTGAGCATCGCATGATGTACCAGTCACTTGGACTAATTGTTTCCATGAATCTTTGTTTTTCTTCATTCTCCTTTGCTCTGGATGAGGAGATACCCATCATTGCACCTAGATAGCTGCTTGCAAGCTTTTAAGATCCCAGTCACTACACACCAAAGTAGGAGGTGGAATAATGTTTTGTGTAGTATGTTATGCCAATTGAGCTTGATATCCCCTGTAACTATGGTCCCAAGCCCACAGGTTCAACTACTCACTCCCTTTGAGTAGCTGGCTGTGACCAAGAAGTGACTACAACCTTGTTCCTTGTCAGCTCTATTATACACCTGGAAATTCTTACAAAACATACAAATACACTTGTAGAACCATTGTCTGCCAACCCTATACATGGTCTTGGGTACACTCCCCACTGCATTTGTTGTTGTTGTGTGCTGTCAAGTCAGCCCCAACTCATAGTGACCCCTCTTTGGGTTGCTGAAGCAGTATCACTGCGGAAGTAGATTGCCCAACCTTCCTTCCAAGGAGTGGCTGGTGGGTTTGAACCGCCAGCCTTCTGGTTAGCAGTCAAGTGCCTTAGGCACTATGCTACCAGAGCTCCTAAAAAACGACATAGCACAGGCACAACTGCATAGACATACCTAACCTAATCATTTAACCTGTCCACCCATCTATCCACCCATATACCCATGTTTGCCTTCTTTGACAATGCAGTACTACATGTGCAAAAGGGTTCATCTTTGTTGTCTGTACCTCCCCTGTACCTCTCTCTGTCTTCTTCTTCCTCAATGCTACCATGTTGATCACTCACATTTGGTACATTGCCCTTCACTTCACCCAAATCAATACTTGTCTCTACCTATCTAATAGTGTCCCCTCCACTCCCCTCCCACCCCTGGTAAGCAACAAAGAAAATTTCCTTCCATATCTAAATCTTTCTTTGACTTTTTACAATAACGGACTAATACAATATTTGTCCTTCTGTTATTGACTTATTTCACTCAGCATGATGTCCTCCAAGTTCATCCACGTTATGCAGTGTTTTGCAGATGCTATGTTATTCTTTAGGGTTGCATAGTGTTGCATTGTTTGTATGTACCATAGTTTGGTTACCTGTTCCTCATTTGATGGACACATAGGTTGTTTCCATCTTTTGGCTACTGTAAATAGTGTTGCGATGAACATGGGTGTGCATATATGTCTGTTCTTGTTCTGGCTCTCACTTTAGGATATATACCTAGTAATAGAATGGCTGGGTCAAAGGGTATTTCTAATTCCAACTTTTGAAGGAATCGCCATCTGATGTCCACAGTGGTTGTATCATTTGACAGTCCCACCCACAATGCATGAGATTCCCAATCTCTCCACATCCTTATAGCATTTGTTATTTTCTGTCTTGTTGAACTTTGCTACTAGTGCTGGGGCAAGATGGTATCTCATTGTTGTTTTGATTTGCATCTCTCTAATGGCTAATGATTGTGAGTATTTCTTCATATGTTTGTTGTCTGCCTGAATACCCTCTTTGGTGATGTGTCTATTCATGTCTTTTCCCCATTTTTTAATTGGATTATTTTTCTTTTTGTTATTGAGGTGTTGGAGTTTTGTATAAATTCTAGAGTTAAGTCCCTGGTCAGATATGTGATTGCCAAATATTTTTTCCCAGTCTGTAGGTTCTCTTTTGACTCTTTTGGAGAAGTCTTTGGAAACACATAAAAATTTAATTTTTAGAAGGTCCCACTCATCTAGTTTCTCTTCTACTGTTTGTGCATTTTAGATTATGCTTGACAGTCTATTTATGCCATAAATAGGGCTCCTATATTTGCCTTATTTTTCCTTGAGGAACTTTATAGTTTTAAGTTTTACAGTTAAGTCTTTGATCCATCTGGAGTTAGTTTTAGTGTATGGTGTGAGGTATGGATCTTGTTTCATTTTTCTGCAAATGAATATCCAGTTTTGCCAGCACCATTTATTAAACAAATGTTCTCTTCTCCATTTAATGGATTTTGGCCCTTTATCAAAGATCAGCTGACCATAGGTCGATGGATCTATTTCTGGGTTCTCAATTCTATTGCATTGGCCTATGTATCTGTCATTTACCAGTACCAGGCAGTTTTGACTACTGTGGCTGTATAGTAGGTTTTGAGATTTGGCAGTGTGAGACCTCCTACTTTGTTCTTCTTCTACAGTGCTTTGCTCATTTGAGGTCTCTTTCCTTTCCATATAAAGTTAGTGATTGTTTTTTCCATATCCCTAAAAAATGTTGATGGGATCTGGATTGGGATTGCATTGAATGTATAGATTGCTTTGGGTAGAATGGACATTTTCACAACATTCAATCTTCTTATTCATGAGCATGGTATGTTCTTCCATTTTTGTAGATCTCTTATGGTTTCTTGAAGTAGTCTTTTATAGTTTTCTTTGTACTGGTCTTTTGTGTCCCTGGTAAGGTATATTCTCAAGTATTTTATTTTTTTGGTAGCTATTGTAAATGGTATTGCTTTCCTTATTTCTCTTTCAGCATTCTCTTTGCTGGTGTAGAGGAATCCAACTGATTTTTGAAGGTTGATGTTATATCCTGCCATGATGCTAAATCTCTCTAGTAGATTTTTGACTGGGTCTCTTGGGTTTTCTAGGTATAGGATCATATCATCAGCAAATAGGGATAGTTTGACTTCTTCCTTACCAATTTGGATGCTTTTGATTTCCCTTTCTTGCCTTATGGCCAAGGCTAGGACTTCCATTACAATGTTGAATAGAAGTGGTGATAGAGGGCATCCTTGTCTGATTCCTGTTTGCAAGGGGAATGGTTTCAGTCTCTCTCCATTGAGAA